TCATCCCAAAGGCTCAAAGGATTTGAGTGAGGAGAAGGAGAGGTGAGAGTGTGGCGTCCTATTCTACAACGTTAAGCCAGATGGTAGACAGCTGAGCCCGACTGAGAGATGAGATGAAAAATAAAAAATATCCAGACTGATGACGTATTGAATTGGAGCAAGAACTGATGTCACAGTCCCAAAAGAGAAGCCTGTCTGGATTGTATCTGAAAGTAGAAGCAGTAATGGTCTAACAACTCATGAGATGTTGCCAGCAGTATGGAATGAATACAGCAGAACCCATGTTAAGCCTATGCGAGATCGAAGGAAAAATACAACTCAAATGCTGATAGTGGTGGGACTGCTGCCTCCAAAATGTCAAGGATTGCCCTCAAATGCAGCTTCCGAAGCCTCAAGAGAACCACCACAGATCTGAATATATGTCTCCATCTCAAAAAGAATAAGATCACTGACAGTCTCAACTGAGAGAGACCCCCCCAATTGTTGTGTAATGTTAGATATAAGAGGTGGGAGAGAAGGGACCCAATTAGCCTCTGTGCCGGAAACAATAATCCAGGAATTCATACCATAATTGAGCTTACCAATCGGAAGAAAAAAAAAATATTATTGTTGTTACGAAATCAACTAGATAACACGATAATGTTCAAAGTATCATCCCTGGAAGATCGTAATATTGGGAAACACATTAGTGATGCTTTCTTGAGAAAAAGTGATAAAATTATCTGAATGAGGTGCTTATATAAAGTACAAGGATAGAGGGCACTTTGACGCAGGTGGAGAGTATCATGAGACATATATCACCAAGGGCAATTGAGTGTGGTATAAAATACTGGAGCAAGCGAAAAAAAATTCAGACCAATGCTTAGATGGGCAAAGATGAAACCCTGGTGGTCAAGTAATAGCTGTAAGTGGGAGTAGAGGTATGTATGTTTAGGAATAAATATTACTAACTACCCAATGATTCACTACTAGAGTATTTATGCCCACATTTTTGCTTATACCTTTGACCTACAGTATAAGAAGTTTATTTACCTTAAAAATGTATGCTCTATTATATTGAAATGCATCATTACCGTGTCTGATAAACAATAAAACACTGTGAATAGACAAATCTGTTTAAATTTGCAGAATCATCAATGGCAGGAAAACAAGAAAACCACACTTTTAGACTGCCTTTTGGTAAGAGAACAACTGTATGGTAAAAAAAGACTGCGACATCAAGTAAAGTGCTAAGGCTAGCACCGCTTGTAATAATTAGTTAATGAAGCATAATGAAATATTAAATCAATAAAATGATAATAATAATTCTGAAATCATGATGGTTAGGATCTATGAAAAAATAAGTTATTATTCACACTACAAATAATCTCTTTACAATACCAAACATAAATAATTTACACATCATCATATAGCATGCATCTGTATAATAATTGCTGAAAGGCACCATTAAGAAATGCTATTAGTATGATGGGAATTATAAAAAAGCAAAAAAGTCAAGTATGATACATAACACTAATAAAAAAAGTTTTTTTTATAATGTAAATACACCTACAAAAGCTACTTGCAGTATCATATAGTTTATCACTACAAAAATTTTCTGATTTAGCAGCTATC